AAAGGTGTTTGCAGGAAAGCAAAACAGCAGGGATCCCCTCACAGTGCAAGCACACTGAGAACTGCACCCTGTTTCCGTACAGCACTGGCACCCTTCCTCTAACCCGCTCCCCTCCTCAGCACAGATGGGTGCGATCGGTTCAACAAAGGTCTGGCTACCTTTATTCTGCGATTTAACAGGATTTCCTAGAAACTCAGCTATCCGTTCTGAGTGAAAAAAAATGCTTTGCTGAGCTCCTCGCTCTTCCCTTTCTAGGCAATACTCTGCAGACAGAGCTGCACACCTCCACCGACTGCAAGGGGAGCAGCAGGGGCTGGGCAGCTCTACCAGCCCATTTCTTTGCCTTTCTCCCTAGAGATGCAGATGCCCAGGCTGGGGCACACCTGCCCGACAAGCCTGGACTAACTGGAGTTTCTTGATATGTTTTTTTGGTGGTGGGTTGCTAGTGTTTTTCATGATGTACTTTTTCTAAGAGACTTGTAAGACTAATCTTGTATTCCTTTGCAACCTCTTCTCACTCCCAGATTCGCTCATGTTACAAACACATCAGCTCCACGGTACCTTTTGTGCCCGACCCTAATTATGCTAACACGTACGGGTCCTGCCAGGCAGAGAGTCCCGCTGTGCGAGGCGGGGATCGGCGGCTGTGGCTCTATGTCCAGACGGAGAGGCACCACACAACAGCTAAAGGGCAGGAGAAGTCCTGCCACCCCCATCCGAAGGGCTGGGAGGGGACACAGGCCCTGCTGGGTGTGGGACAAAGCAGCCAAAACCCACATCCCCTTCTCTGACAGCCCACGCCTGCAGTGCATCATCCTCCTCCTCACATGCAATACATGGCTACAGCCTCACCCCAAGCCACCCACCTTTTTTGGTTCGTGTCTCACTATGCTGTGAGTTGCCTGCTGTTTCCAGCTCTGTTGGGATGTGTTCAAAACCCCGATGACTTACAGGTGGGGAAAAAAGCATTACGAAAAAAATATTTACGTAGACAAATTAATATCTGTATCAAATCAACAGTCTTCACCTCAACTGTGCAAACTTTCAAAATAAATTTACAGTGCTGGGAACCCCAGAGGAGATCAACTATTAGCTGTGTAAGACACCCAGACCTACTCTCTCTTGTACTTGCAAACGCAGAAACAGCATTAACTTCAAGAGGTGCTGGGGTTGAATATTTTATGGAGTTTGTTTGTACTGCATCTGTCCAATTGTCTGTTTGTTGTAGAAAGCACAAACAGACTGACTAAAATCACTGTTCCCTACATTCATGATTAAAATATCTACAGGAGGTGGACGTATGAGGCACATTTTCAACCAGGGAAAAAGTAGCAGATAGGAAAATTAATATAGATACAGCCCTAGACGTCATTTGTTTTTCCCAATCTGCCCTGAGACTCAGCCTCCTTGATAAAGTACTTTAACAGCAGATTTTAGGTGTGAAGGTTTTAAATAGGCAAACTGTAGAAATAATAAAGCCCTAACACACACCGTCGCTGACAAATTAGCTGTTAAAGCAAGGCTTGGGATGGGAACTGCCTGCTGCCAGCTTACTGAATTCACGCTTCTGCATTGCTGTTTACATACCAGGAGCAACACCGGCACTAAGGCTCACATTTAAATGCATGCCTGGAGGTGCACAGTTTCCAAAAGCAGATTAACAACAGTATGGACTCCACATCTTGGGGACTGCAGAGCTCCTCAGAAACCTATCAGGAGGCCCCGCAACACCTCTGGAGCTCAGGTTCACATGCCCTTCGCAGCCCAGTCTGCTGCAAGCTATAAAAGGGGTCCAGGTCCTCATGCAAACGCCTGCAACCCAGCCTAGGGGCGGGTGGCCAGAGGAGCAGCCGCATGGAGGAAGGGTGCTCGGTCGGGTAATGCACCCAAGGACATGAAACACCAGGAGGAAAAACTACTGCCACAGAAGTGCCACCAATGCCGTGGAAAATCAAAGCAGCCCAAAGGACAGGCAAGGGCAGTTATGTTGTTATTCAGGCTATCATCACTACGGGCATGGAAGATAAGTTTTCCATAATTCCAGGGGATTTTAATGACAATTAAATAACCTGTCATTATCCTTAATAACATAACAGGTGAATTGAACTTTGCCTACAGAAGCAGTGGTGGCCAAGGTCAGTAATAAAAGAGGTTGATATGAGAAGCCAGTGCAAGAGCAAAGCCCCGCATTTTCAAAGACAACTCCTGCGGCATTTTATACTTTCATGTGACAACAGTGTCTAAAAACAATCATATTTACGGGATAACAGTAAATACAACTGTTTGCTTCCAGGTACATTCTTTGAAACTCAATATGTGCTGATAAGTTTAACGGAGAAACTTTCATTCCAGCACAGCTGAAAAAAAAATTGCATTTACCACTTAGGGGCAGAGATATTTACCCCAGATCCCAGATGCACGCCGGCTATCCGAGTTAGGCCATTTGCAATGCTGTAGTTAAGACTGTCAGCACTTCCATTACTGCCCTATTCCTCTACTGAACAGCTCATACCTTCATTCGTAAAAAAAGTTGCTCTGGGCTCTGGTTTGACACAAAAGTCTTAGCTGAGCAACATCAGTGTTTTAAAAATAAACTTTAAAAACCCAGTGGCCATTCTCTTTTAGCAACAATTGCCAGACAATTGGCTTGCTTAGCTTGGATTTTTTTCCTCTGCACTCCTATAACTCAAAAATGTCTCTAGAGCAAATAAAAGAATCACTCAAGTATTAAATAATCAAGAGGAGTCATGTTTAAATAAGTACCTAACTATATATGGCATTAATGAATTCGAACAGCTCTATCAAGTACGAAAGCACTGAATGGCTTTGCAATGCTCAGTGATATTTTTCTTTTAAAGGAAGTCAATTTATGTTCTGGTTTGGCAGAGGATGGGCAGATTATGGCTTTACTGCCATGGCTTGCGTTGAATTTAGCAGCACTCGATCTACTTGTCCTCCCACAAACACATTTTCAGTAGACAGATCAAGGTCTCAATATTCGATAATATAACTGACAGTCATGTTCCTTCATTGTATACGTGGACATCTTCAAGAAAAAGCGCATTTTTATTGTTGTGCCAATAAAAGAAGGATATGGGAGGACAAACACTTATCCTTTCAGAACCATACAGCAATGCACATGTTGCGTGTGCTTGCAAAACCTGGCATACAGCCTGTCAGGGCAATGTTTCTGTTCTGCCTTAGCACCTACAAGCATGGCAGGTTTGCTGGTGCAAAGCACGTAGGGTGGTTTTGCTCACAGTTGAATATGTTGACTGATCTTTCGAGATCAAATAGGCTCACATTATGTGTAGAAGTAAGTTTTGTTTCTTACTGCCTTGGAAATGCCAACTGGGCTTAGAGTTGAGCTGGATTTCTCTCTTGTATACATCATTATCGCCTGTAACATGAATTCTCCATCTCACCTGACCTCAAGCTAAATGTACAATTACATCTCTGCTCCTTTGCTGTTCCAGAGAGGGTTGACAGGTTCTGACGGACGGGGGAAGAGCCTGCCCTCGCTCCACGGCAGGAGAAGTCGTGCCCAGCAGAGCTGCTGCCCCCGGACCCCGCCAGCTGGAACCTCCCTGCGGTCCTAGGGACACGAGAAATCCTTGGCAGGCTGCTGTAAAACCGGGATTTTCTGCAGAAAGGGGCTAAGGCATGCAGGTTGAAAGCCAGTGCCCTGTACTGTACCCTGGAGCCTAACGTGCAGCCCACGAGTCCTGCCCGCATCCGTCCGCCTGGGTGACCAACACTAAAACCCCACAGCCTCCTCCTGGTCACCACAACACAAGAGTAATCCAATTTACGGAGATTTGGTCCCTGAATCCCTTCTAAGCAACGAAGAGAGCTTGCATCATGCGTGCGAAACTACCCGCGGGGTGTGAAACTGCCGAGGTGCCACCACATTATTTCACAGCCTGCATATGTGCGGTGGCATGTCTCGGGCCATCACCGAGCAAAGATGGCACATAAAACAGCACAGAAGAGTGCTGCTGGCTGAATGCCACATAGCTCCAAATCCATAAGCCAATACATTTCCACAGTCCTCAAAAAAGATAAGAGTTAGTTACAGTGTGAGTACTACAGTGACCTACATAAACACAGTTCTTTTTGTAAACAGGAGTCAAGAATGATAGGAACAAGCAGCTACAGGGAAATGGAGGCAGATTTTAATCATCGTTGGCTTAAGCAAACTATAACAATATTCCCGCACCTTTGCTCCATCCTCAACTCTACCCTACCTGCACGGAGCAGCTCAATTGTGTCGCAAGAAAAATCTCTTCTGCAAAACAAGCGTTATATTACCACAGTCCATTTGTCCTTGGCATTCAAAGAGAGCAGCAGGACTTTCTGAATGAGAAAGCCTCAGTTTCTCAGAAGGCTCAGAAATTCACACAATGCATTTTCAAAGAGTCAGGTCACTCCTAATAAATAAGAAATAACCTCCTCCCTGGGATTAAAGGTGGCCCAAAACTAGAATGAGCTACCAAAAGAGGGAAAAGCAGATCTCCTTTAGTAAATCAGGAAGCAGGGGATGACACAGTATGTGCTTTCACTTGGCATCTATTTGGAGGTACATTTTAGTGATGTTAAAGGAGGCAGGGACAGCTGGAGAGCAGGACCAGCCTTTCAGAGCTACCCAAGGCAAGCACAGCACCCAGGGAGTACTGAAATGCTGGGACATCTCAGCTCCCGACCTCACACCCCAGCTACAAGGCTGATGCCAGGATGACTCCAGACCCTTCTGCTCTGACCATGTGAAAAGAGGCAAAGCCCTTAACTGAAGCCCAGGCCGCACAAACATCAGTTTCAAATGCTACCAAAAGTTTTAAAAATCATAGAATTGGTGGGAGAAGAAGGGAGGAGCTGGTAATTGAAGCATTTGGAGTTTGTTGGCTGGAGGACAGGGGTAGGTTGGTGTCAACATGTAGAGCCAGTGGTACACAACCGAGCCCTGCCGTGGCAGCAAGCTAGAATTGCAGAAAACCACTCACGGTTGTCAAGAGCTTTCCTTCGTTCTTCTGCACGTAGACGATCGCATCCCGCACCAGGGAGAAGAGGTTCAAGAGGACATGCTCCATGTCATAGATGCCATGCATGCCTTTGGTCAGCCCCTCCAGCGACCCGATGTACTCTCGCCAGTGGTTATCGATCTCCACGACGCCTGCCAAGCATCCTTGCATCACCACGCCACAGTAGCTGGCACAGGGCTTGGCCAGGAGGAGCCCCTGGCAGTGAGAGCAGTACCACATCTTCAGCAGCGCTCGTCCACAGTCCTTGCTGAATTTTAAGTGGTCAGTAGTGTTTATCACCTCGATCCCCAGGTTGAGCGCCTGCAGAAAGACTCGCGTGGCCTGCAGTGACTTGGACACCTGCGTCATCATCACCTTTGGGTAGTTTCCAAAGACTTTGAGGTCTCTCCTGGCTGCCCGCAGGCATTCAGTCATTTCCATGGAGGGATCGGGGAAGCCGGGATTAATCAAGTGAGAGTAAACCAAAGGAAATAAACTGTCAAAAAATTCATTTATCATGTCATTAACACTGATGTCAGAGCCCAATATGTACAGCGAGACATCAGTAAAAAGTTCTCCAACAAACTGAAGTGCTCTGGGCCCCATGCTCTGGTAGTGGGTCCTAAACATGCTGTTGGTGAAGTTTCTTGCATGCCGTACTACAATTTCAAAGGCTTCTGCAAAACAGAACAAAAAAGAAAGAAGTTATTAAGAGATGACGAGCTCAGGAAGAGGGAGGATAACACTGTACTGCAATACCGCTGCAAAGGCTGGTCCCATCCTGCCCGCGTTGGGTCAGACGCCTGCTGGCAGCCGTGCCTGCTGCAAAACTTACCAGCGTCAGTGATTTTCAGGGGAAATGCATATATTCTTTAAACACAAGCTACATTTCAAAATGGCAAAAACTATGATCTAGTTAACATTTCAGCTTTTAAAGAAAATATTGATTCAAGAAAAGGGCTAGACTGCAATTTCTTTCTCTCCTTTCATATTGATTTGAAATTAACAGGAATTCTATCTCAAGACTTAATTTAAGGCAGAGATAAATGTTTGACAAACTGTACAGTGTTTAAAATGAGGAAACAGTAAATGCTGACATTCCATTATGAAAAGGAAAATATTTATAGGAGCTTAATCACAGAGGATATTCGGACTCGACACCCAGCACCCACCCTGCACTAAGTGTCCTCAAAGCCATTTGAAAAGCCCCTGCAGTGCTGTAGCTTTCCCGAGTGCACCAGGCTCGCTTCGGCTGCAGATCCAATGTTTCATCTGCCCTGGACACGAGCTGCTCCGTGGTCCAAAGCGATGCTGAGAGCCGACGACGCAGTGTCCATCTGTGCATGCCCAGCCAGGACCACTCTCACATACATCAGGTTGTGCCAAATGGCCCCATGAAGCTCAAGTTTTACACGGCAACCATCAATTCGCTAGGAGAAGCCAGGGTGCGTTTTCCCCTCTCCACCTTCAAAGACTTGAGGACTTTCGGCCCACACCTCCTGCGGCAAGCAGGAGAGCCTCCAGCAGCATAGGCACTGCACAGTGATTCCCTTAATTACAGCCCTCCTCACCAGGAGGCTTCCAAAATATCTGTGCCCAGGTACATAAAGACAACATACCTACACACCCTCCAGTTTGCGAGTTAAAGCATTAGCAGGGGAGGCCAGCAGTGCAAACTAAAGTAGTTTTCTTCGGCCAACTCTCTCTACCAGCCTGCGTCCCACCCTCCAGGGTACTATTCATAAAATGCTAAAAATAACAAACGGCCTCTCAGTTCACAGGTCACTGACACCCCACAACGTAACCGCTCTCAACTGCGGCACTCTGGAAACACACATCCAGGCTCAATTTGCATGAAAATTATTCATGTTCAATAATTAAAGAGAATGTTTAATTTTTAAAACCATAAGTGTTATTCTTCCCATTTGTTAAGGCTGGGATGCAGCTGAGCGTGGCCTGACGCCTCTCCGCGGGGGTTTGGTATCAACGCTATCACAAGCAACATCAGGCCTTGCTGCTCGCCCTCCATAACCTCTCATGTTACTCAAGAGGTTTTGAGACCATCACATCTCCAGGACTTCCAACACTTTCTTCCCCTCCTATGCAGGCACACATGGCGGGACAGGGACCCAATGTTTGCTGCCTCCATGCCAGCATGCAGAAAGCTATGGTGTAAGCAGCGATCAAAGCAGAAATTACCGATACACTTTCACAAACAGTGTTCTCCATCCCATCTGGTGCCTGCGCACCTCCCAGGCATGCCACTGAAGCATTTTGTCCACAGCTCCCGACACCCGCACCAGGACTGCCCCAGCAAGCCCAGAGCAACCATCTGCGTTCCCAGACAACAGCAATCCTTCCTAACACCGCAGACTGAGGGATGCAGCGGTGCAAGGACACAGAGCCCCTCTCTCCATGCCTCCCTGGCCACAACAGCAGGCATCTCGCTCTTTGCGCCCATACAGAACATCGCAAAGCTCTCCAGGCACAACGGCACGTCCGGCATGGAGCGGGATAAACGTGCGGGCTATGCAAGCACAGCAAATTCTGGTTGCACGGTTATTAAAAGTTTTAAAACAAAAAAGTCTCCTTAAATAGGGCATATGGATTACAAAAGTTTTTTTCCTTCTTTATCCTCAAGAGCACCAGAATAGCTTTTTCCTCAAAGAGCACAAAGCACTTTTTGGGCCAGTGTTTTTTTGACAGCACTGCAGACGATGCCAGGATTTTCATGCTGTGCCTCACCATTCGCCTTTAACCTCTTCTCTGTTAGTTCCCTTAGAAAAAGTCATCCCTCTTTCCTTTTCTCGCTCCTCTGTGCTTTGCAAGTTACCATCAGAGCCAAGAGACCCTTCGCTGATTAGAAAAATATTCCAAGCTCCTATGCAAACCTCCTACGGCGAGAAATGCTTCAGAAAGGAATCGAGAACAGTGGCGTATCAGAAGAGCATGCACACACAGTCCCACTGCTTTAAAGGTCACGACATGCACATAATTTTTATCATAATAACTGGCTAAGAGTGTCTATTTTATGCGCCTTGGAGCCTTTGCATATATCCATTAGAGAGCGCAACAGGGACTATAAAAGCACATGGAGCCTCCTGCTGCCCTATTAATAGATGCAAGAAATAATAAAACTTTGTAAAAAGAGTCTTACACATCCAAAATCTCTCACACCCTACTCCCCTAGTAGTTGCTTATTCTGAAATATTCCTCACAAAGGGCTGGCTGCAAGAATATTAAAGCCCCAGCTGCCAGCAGCAGAAGTGACCCACGGCCAGACCCTGAGCACTTCAAAGAGGAGGAAACTTTGCGGGTCCGTCCCCCGTGCTCCCACGAGTGAGCCTCGCGGGGAAACGAAGGGGATGCCGCATTACAGAAGCGGCACGGGCTTCTGCTCCCACAGAAAATCCCCCAGCCTGGATTTGCTGCTGGTAAAATCTGCCCTGCTCATAATATGGCATTATTGAAACTCCTGTTGCTAGAGGACAATTGAATCTTTTCTTTCTTCTATTTATTTCAAGGATATTTAAAAAAGAGTGCAATTTAAAGCAGCTGGTTTGCAGGTCTAGCTGAACAGAGTAAATACCTTAACAGCACTGATAAAGCGTAGCATCAGAGCTGCACCCAGATTCCAGCAGGCAAAGGTACTGCAGGGCAGAGCGGAGCTCATGTCTTACTGTCTCCATCACCATAGCTATGCACACACAGCAGAACTCGATCATGCCACATGGTTATTTATCTGCTTTTAAAATATTTTCTTATATGATTAGTAGGAAAAAAAAAATAAAAAAACCCCCACTTTTGCATGCACTAAAATTTAAAGAGCCCTGATCTATGAGTCTGGCTTGGGGAGATGACAGCCTGAGCTGCCACGGACCACCACGCTAGAAAGCCAGTCCTGCCTGGGTAGCTCTTAAGCACATTTCATCCGCAGGTACCTGAAGGTACTGAACACATACACAAATTGTACTCCAAAGTCATTTCAGTCAGCACAGGGACAAAACCTGGGAGCAACTTAACCATGCACAGCACCATGGTGCTTTCTCCCAGGGTGGATGGGAAGAACCATACCGTGCCCAGGTGCAATAAAGGGACCGCATGCAGGATACGAGCCAGAGCACCGTCAGCAAAGCATCGTACCTGCCGCACTGGTACCATACATCTGTTGACTGTCTCTGCCAAGGGCAGTTTATCAGGGCTCCCAAGGGATGCGTGAAAGCTGAAACTCTACTCTAGACCGCAGTTATCAGGCACCAGTGGAAAAGCACGGGCTATTACTTATTTTTCCAGCAGGACTCTCACTGAAGCACCTGGAGAGGAATTTCTGCCCAGTTCCAGCAGCCAGGAGGGAAGGACTAAGCTGCTTTCAAAGTGCAAAAGCTCCCCAGAACGCAGCCCAGGGAGAGCTGCACAGCCACTGCAAACTGGCAATTAAAGAAAAGAAAATAAATTGTAAAAGATCGTAACAGTGCCCTGAGTGGGGATTACTGGCAGGAGAAGGAAATCACTGCGTTCTCAGCTCAGATAATAAAAGTCTGCTGCTTAGTAAAAACGCCAGCTTTCCTGAGAAGGCGCATTTGCTCCTGAGCTGCAGCTACTTCAAAGGGGCCAATGCCGGGGCCGGAGGAGCTCTGGATTAACCTGCTGGCTCCCCCAGGCTGCAGGAGGCTCCAGCCAAGTCTGGGACTTGATGGGTTTATTTAAGAGATTATGTGATGCAGTCGCCTGAACCGCAAGGAGCCGGCGCAAGCAACCCCAGCGAGCCATTCCTGCATGGCATCCCCCGGAGACGCAAGAGCCGCAATCCGATGGCAGCTGCGGAGCCCGAGCAGCGACAAGAGACAGCACCCAGCCCCGATCCAGCACCCCCAGGTCTGAGCTCAGCGGGTGCAGCATCACAAGCAACTGAAGGTGTTTGGAAAGGTGGTGCTGCCAGGAACAGGGAGGTCTGTTCTCCATCTGCCTTCCCAAAAACCAGCACCGCAGCAGCCATCGTTGCAGCCACATGGAGCCACCTCCCTGCACCACCACGGCCATGGGGAGAAGGCAGGAGCTGTCACACAGAGGGGAAAGCGGGACCCACCATGGCAGTCAGACACCGGGATGGGATGTGGGCTTCGTGCCTGCCCCTCCGTTACTGTGCTGTTGCTCTTTCGCTGCAAACACAAGCTTCCCACATGGACAGCTGCCCTTCTCTGTGCATCACGCAGCACACCACACAAGTCCTCTTTGGCAAAGGCACACCAAAGACAAGGGAGCTGCACAGCAGAACTTGCTGCATCAGCAGCCCGTCTTCCATAGGGCATCTCGTAAGGGAACAAAGTGGGGTGGAAGTGACAGATTGTGTGACATCCAGTCACCCCCAGCACATGGACACCAAGGGGTTAAAACTGCACATACAACCTTGATTTTACTGTTTCTTGACATCTGGGCACACAAACCATGCAACCACAAAGCGCTCTCTGAGCAGGGAAGCGCCCACCATGGCTGCCGTCACTGCTCGTCAGGAGCTGAGCTCCCAACTCCCATTTACACCTTTGCAAGAGTCTTTTCTTAAAAACTGGGCAATTGTCTCCCCACATTTAAAGCTTTATCTTGACCACGTAAAGATATGTCTTCACAGTAGAGGAACTACAACATGTTTGTTACTCGACTGCCAAGAGCTAGTAAAGAC